TTGGAAACACTGGATGCAAAAAGGGAAAGTTATCTAGATATTCAGAAATAGAACTTGAGTAAACAACATGATGTAGATACTAGTCTAAACTAGTTTCATTTTCAGTATATACATCTATTTGACACCTCACGGCATCACGCTACAAAGTCATTCATAACCCTAAACCAAGCCAAGAGCAATCACAAAATGATCGCTTTAATCCAACTTGTCATTCTCTTGCAATTTACTCATTTGTCTCAGGCAGAATGTCCCCGATCGATCATTGTTAACAGCAGTGTTCAACTGGAAGGAATCTTCTGCAATTATCACCAATATGAAGAGTGCAGTGACATTAGGCTGCTACTTGACACTTCCATCACTCATGAAATAACTTCAGGTGATTACTGTACTATTAATATCAGTCACTCACTCACCATAACCAGTATTGCTACTGATTCTCTTGCACACATCAATTGTGTACCAAACAATGAAGTGCACAATGACAAATACTGGACAAGAGGGTTTGCTTTTCATGGTACTAATGGCTCCTTGACAATGAAAGGGCTGAATTTTACTAACTGTGGTACTAATCTCACTACCCTAGATAGCAACATTGTCAATTTTACAAGCTCTCCCATTCATTTCACTAGCTATCATGCTGCTGTATTGGTATTCACTGAAATTGGTACTACTAACATAGAAAATATAGCTATAGCTAGTTATAATGGATTTGCTGTAGTAGCAATTAATCTTCCTAATGCTTTCTTCAGCTACCTTTATATAACTCATTCTCAAAATTTTGATTCAATCGACAACTCTAATTATATGAGCACAGGTAACTCTAATTATATGAGCACAGGTAGTGGCATGCTGGTTCTTACTTGTAATTCATCAGTAACAATTAATGATCATTACAATGTCACTATCCTAAACTCTATTTTTTATAAAAATTTTGCTTCCAATCAATATTATTATAAACATAAACAACAATGTATATCAGAAATACGCAAACACTACCAAAGGTTATCTATGCCTATTGTTAATGCTGCTGGGCTTACAATACTATACACACAGAGTGACGTACCAGCAACTGTTAATATAGTTGGAAGCACTTTTTATTTATGTCAAGGTTTCTTAGCTGGAGCTTTGATGGTTTTTCGTTTAGATTCCCCAGTCAGTTCTCAGACCAATATTTATGGTTCTCAATTTACTAAGAATTCTGTACTATCGCATTGTCATGGAGCGGCAATAGTTGGTAGCTTTCACTCTTTTTCCTGGAGAGTCTCAAACACAAAGTTTTATCAACCTCTAACCATTGCAAATACCACCTTCATAAAAAATGGACATGCCCTTAATTGGGGCTCAGGTGCCATTAATATAGCTTTGACTACGGTTGGCGGTAAAGATACACCACTTATACTGTTCCTGTTTAAGAATATTACTTGTGCTAAAAATGAGGCACAGACAAGTGGTTCTTGCATGTACATCTCTACCTATGACGCTAGTGGATACATCTATAAAGATCAACAGAATCCAGCATACATTATAATGGAATCAGTCATTGCATATGATAATGATATTTCGTTCAAAAGCAATTCGCCAGAAAACTACATTCCAGTCAGTGTTTTTAACTTCCTTCACTTCAAAAATATTACTATAAGTGGATCAGAATCAAGCCCAGGCATTTTTTTGTACAATTATGGCTCTGTTTTTGAAATAATAGATGCTGATATAATACTTAAAGGAAATTTGATATTCAAGAATAACATTGCCAATCATGGAGCTGCTATATTTTTACAAGGACGAGGCGGATCTAGTAGATCTAGTTGTCACATTTATCTCAGTCAAAGGCTTTATGTAAGGTTTGTTAATAATTCAGCACAGTCATTAGGAGGGGCCATTTTTAGTGCAGGAGAATCATCAGATTTATGTACTTTTCAGGTTTTATCTGAGGATTTTAATAAAACAAGTTTGTTTTTCATTGGCAATACAGCAGAGCTAGCAGGTGACTCTATATATTCAAGTAGTCTTTATAAGTGCTCCATGAAAATTGGCAAAAAAAGATTTAAACATCAAACAATATATGAAAAGGTATTCAAAAACATAGGGTTACGAGACCTTGCATCTTATCCTAATGTTATCAAACTGTGTGATCCAAAGATGCAATATGAAGTCTATCCAGGAGCATCACTTCATATACCTGTTAGTGTACTAGACAATGACAATCGTCCAACATATGCACTTGTGACGGCAATAGCTGCTCAGAATCAAGTTAAAAAGCTTGGCTGGTGGTTTTCAAATAATCAGCAAATTTCAATAGGAAGGAACAATTGTACACAAATCAACCTCACATTTCACTCAAACGACCCATCAACGTTTAACAAAGAAGCAATGCTATTGTTTAGTATATCAGAAGCTAGTAAAGTCAATGGATCAACTGTCATTGTAAAAGATTGTCCTCCAGGTTTTAATCTGGACACACTCAGTGGAGCATGTGTATGCTCGTGGTTGCTATTAGAAGTGGTGAGAATCTACCACGGACAGAGACCATTGTGTCAAATTGAAAACAGTACTTTTAGCAGATCAAATATTCTAAATTTATGGATAGGTACAAATGCCACTGGTAAAGAGTTTCGTATTTCTTATTGCAATCCTAGCTATTGTAACCTGGGCTCACAGTTTGACGCAATGTTTATCAATAAATCTGGTCCATACCTGACGAGTTCAACAACTTCTGTGACAATATCACTTTGTCATAGTTCACGAAAAGGTGACCTCTGTGGTGAATGCAATACCAATTACAGTGTAGTGTTTGGCTCCACGAAGTGTAAGTTGTGCTCCAATAAATGGTGGCCTTTTACATCAGTGCTTTATATACTAGCTGGCCCTCTCCTTGTGTTCCTATTGTATACTTTCAAATTAACACTGACAACTGGTACACTTAATGGAGTTATATTCTACGCACAAGTAACAAATGTCGGCGTTACAAAGTTCTTAAAAATACCATGCAGTGAATGCGGAAATGAAATATACTTTGTGAGATTGGCCAGTACATTTATATCATGGTTAAACTTGAACCTTGGGTTTCCCCTTTGTTTCTATAATGGAATGACAGAGTTATGGAAGACTGGGCTGAGTTTACTCTTTCCAGTTTATCTTCTCTTCATTGTTGGGTTCCTTATTATCTTAAGTCACCTTTCAACAAAAGTCTCAAACCTTTTGTCAAAGTCTTCCGTCCAAGTTCTTGTCACAGTGGTTCATCTTTCATTCACTCAATTGCTACAGGCTATCCTTGACGTGTTCAGCTCCGCACAAATTTACATTGAAAATAAAGGCCAGAGAAAAGTATGGTTTAAAAACGGAGCTATAGAATATGGCAACATCGAACACAAAATTTTAATGATCATAACATCAGTGGTAGTGGGAGTCATTCTGATACCGTATGTAGTAGTTGTTCTGTTTGGAAAACATCTTTTGAGATTTGACAGCATTAGGGAATACATTCGTCCGTTTTATGAAGCAATACATGCACCTTATAAGATGAACAAGTGGTACTGGTTTGGGATACACCAGACATACGTGTTGATAGTATACATAGTAGAATCGATTGGAGGAGGGCATTCTCTGTTCCTGATATTTTTTCTAATTTTGATACAAATATTTCAACTAATCACTACTTTTCAAGCCTTTTCAATACCATTTAAGAGTAAGTTACTAAACACAATAAACTTATCCCTACTTTTACTTCTCAATATTGTGTACTTAAACTCCTGGTACATTTCCATTTATATGCCTCCAAAATACCTAACACTTTTTATTGCAGGCTCCATTTATCCTATTATTGTTCTCTTTTGTTTTATAATTGTTTATCACATACTGTTGACAACTGCCCAGTTAGGTAGGGTTACACATAACATTGAAACTGTTTTAAATAAAGCCAAGATATGCTTTGACTTCAAGCAGAAGAAGAAAAAAGTCCGTCGTGGTCGTTACCCTTATGATGAAGGATCATTCTTTGATGATCAATACTGTGACACTCGTGAACCGCTTCTTGAACATACACAGTAAAATTTGTTGGTGTTCTTTTTTATGAGCCATGATCATTTGAGTGCTTAGATTTGTATCTTACATTACTCACATTATTTTGTTTCGATACTTTACTTTTGTACATAACCATTTAATATTTATAATTACTATAGATTTGGAGCAACTTTAAAATTTGTTAAAAAATCCAAATTTTTATGTATATGTATCAGAAAAACTACAAAAATGGAGAATTCTCTCCTTTCAACTTTGGTGGAATTTGGCTTGAGACCATTGGCCTCATCTACATCTATTGTACACATGCATAACAGCATAGTGCATGGTCATTAAGCAAAACTTAACTATTAATTTTAGATCTATATAGATTAATGTAGAAAAATGAAAGCTGAAGTGTCAAATAATTGACCAAGTCATATTGGTATCATTCATATCATAGGCGCCGGAACAGGGGGGGCAGAGGGGGCTAAAGCCCCCCCAGTCTTGAAACAGGAGGGGCTGAGCCCCCCCAGAAATTCTCTGCAACTGACTAACAAAGAAAATAAAACTGACTTTTATCAGTAAAATTAGACCTGCAGTCATCATCTCTTCATTTTATTTAAAGAAAAAGACAAGAAAACTACTCTAAATCCAACAATAGAAGATTAGCACCATTTTTTGTAAAATTAGCAGCCATTTTGTATAAAACCACACCCATTTTAATAACTTAATTGATGTTCAGCCCCCCCAAAATAAATTTTGTTCCGCCGCCTATGATTCATATCTATTCATGAATTTAAGTACAACTCAGCATGCATTATCATCAAAATCTTAGTTGGTAAAGATGGCTCTTTTTAAGCTTGTCTTTCTATCTTTTTTTGCTATTGCTGCAGCTACAGTCAATGCTAAACCAAACCTAGTGTTTGTACTGGTTGATGATTGGGGGTTCGCTGATGTCAGCTTTCGTAATCCAGCAATCTCATCTCCTCATTTTGAGAGCCTGGCTACAAAGGAAGGTCTCATTTTGGATAGACATTATGTCTTCAAATATTGCTCACCATCTCGTGCTTCGTTTCTAACCGGACGCTTCCCCCATCATGCTCACCAATGGAATCCGCCACAAAGTGGACTAGTTGGAGCAAACATAAACATGACAATGATTCCTGCTAAACTGAAGACAGCTGGTTACAAGACGCACATGGTGGGCAAATGGCACGAGGGATTCTATCTTAAAAAGTTCCTCCCGATTAACAGAGGATTTGATACTATGTCTGGATTCCTCGGAGGAGGAGAGGATCACATGACGCAAGAGATAATCTGTGCAGTTGACTACTGGAAGAATGATGCCATAGACACAAGAAATGGAACATATGATGATTATACTTACGTAGAGGACCTTTCTAAAATCTTGACCAACCATGATCCGTCTGATCCATTCTTCTTATACCTTCCGTTACATAATGTACATGCTCCATTGCAGGCTCCGGATGAGTTTTTGAACTTATATCCTGTCAATTCAACATGTTCTGATCGACGTACAATTCAAGCAATGGTCAGTGTTGCCGATAATGTCACAGGTTTTGTGGTGAAGATGTTAAAAGACAAAGGAATGTGGGACAACACGTTAATAGTGGTATCAGCTGATAATGGAGGTGCCCCTTGTGAGGGTAGCAACTATCCATTGAAAGGATCAAAAATGACTTTTTATGAAGGAGGCGTCCGATCACTAGCCTTTGTTAGTGGTGGGTTATTGCCTAGTGATAGAAGGGGGAAGAAAACAGAAGGATTCATTCACATTGCTGATTGGTACACCACTTTCTGTCAATTGGCTGGTGTTGATTCTGATGATTCTGGGGCTGGCAAATTTCCTGTTGATGGTATGAATGTATGGCCTATACTAACTGGAGAGAATGAGAAAACGCAACATGAACAAATACCGCTAGGCTATCACTTTGATTTCAGTAGCAACTCAAATACGA